ACAGATGCGATGGGCCCTTTGGCCTGGGTATTTACCGGGTACCTGGGTTGACTGCACGCGGCTGGCTCAGCCGAGGACCCTGACAGGAGCCAATTGTCGCCCCATTGGTGATTGAGGCCTCCACTTGAGTGGCCCAAGCGCGGAAGTCTCATATTTACATTCACCACTCTTGCTATAGCTGCTAGATTGTTTCGTAGCCAAGGAATTGGATCCCTCCCCCCCCCAATATCCACTGTAACAGATAAGCGACCAGTAGGATTCACCATCTTGAAACAGCATTGTATCTCGTTCAGTCTCACGATCACACATGTCACACTCCCAAGTGTACCAATCAACATCCGTTTGAGGCAAATGGTAGAGCAAGTATCCATTGACATTTTTTATAAAAAAGCGAGTATAGTTTGAATTTGGATCGGCCATACTATTAGACGAATCCAGTTTAGGAATGGCATAGATGATGGAGGGTTTGGGCAAATGAATGCGCATTATATACTTTCTGTGATTGCAATGGAGATGACTCATGTCCGTGTCAGTGACATGCAAAATTAAAATCGAAGTATGAAGTACGGGGTAAGGAAAGAAATAAATACCATGTCCCCTTTCTTTGTGTCTAACAGCCTAGGCGGCTAGTTTCGTGATTTGGCAAATGAGCACCATGTCTCGGTAATCAGGCCAACATTGACATATAGATATCTATAAAGATGAACCGATTATTCCAACTGTCTCAAGTGCTGTATCATTCAAGTAAACAAGAAGCAGCTTGCGGAATCCATTTAAGAAATGAACATGTCAGACGAAGAATCAGACCGCGTCCCCTGACGCATAACAAGACAGACTGAATAAGCGTCTTTCTAAACGCTAGATATATTGTTGACTGGTTGGAGGAATTCGAGGAATTCGATACACAATGAATGATTATGCGCGATCAATTTTGCTAGCCTTTGCATTAAAAACGGCCATTCAGTTTCAAAGTGCTCTATTCATTCGCTCTATTATGAAAATTTAATTTTGGACATCGCTTAGAGGCGAAGATAATCAGGTCTGTCCTCACCACATTGACGAAATGACAAGATGCATGTATACTGCCAGTCACCTTACCAGGAGAAATGACATGTTTCTAGGAACATTTACATGAAAATGCTCCATATGTAGGGTAGATATATGTCCAATTTAGAACTAGCACCTCCCTCTGCTAATTAGGTTCTCTCTCTCAACTGGTACGAGGGCCGTGGTCGCACGTCGTGGGATGTGGAGTTTTCTTAGGCGGGGATAAACGGAAATCTCCACTTGGCTTCGACGCTTACATTCCCGTTTTCTACCACTACCATGTGGCTTAAAAGCATAATAGCGTCCCTCTTGCTCGTGGGTATGAATGTCGCAGCGGCCAACTCGACCTTCAAGTGCGCAGCGGATGGAAAACCTGGACTTCTTATTGCAGAAAAGTATGCAGTTGCGTCCTACCCACTTGTTCTGAGCAATGAAACCTCCACGGAGAATCTTCTCCCAATTATTAGGTCGCAGAAAATGGCCACAGAGCTTGAACATAATAGCACGGCTAAGTTCCAGCTATTCAAGTGCCATCAAAAAGATGTCTCACCTAATCTGAACTCAACGTTCTGGCAGATCCGTCACACCTCGAGTGACTTATGCGTTGCGATGAAAGCGCCTCCCAGGAAGCACCCCAAAGGCAGCATCGGCTTCCAATTAAGAACATTTGAGAATAAAATGGTGGCGAAGAATTGTGCAGAACCCAAGGACAAGGCGTTCTACGACCAGGTGTTCTACGAGCAGGACAATCTTCATCTGGTCCAATATAACGCGCTGAAGAATGAGACCCGTCGCGCTCCCCGCTTCAAGGGCCGTGGCGTTTACCTTGTCCAACAATTAAACGACTGGGAGTCAAAGCACGACTATTATTTGTATTTTTCTGTGCCTCACAAAGCCTAGCGAGGGAACCATGGGCTGGTCCCACCCTTGTCAATTTCACGCAGAAGAAAAATGTCTCTATAGCAATGTTACCAAATTCATAGACTACGATGCGACGCAATAACAAACCGGCTTGGGTTAAACCATCCAGTGGCCCAAATGTGCGGTCGTATCTAATCATGCGAATGTATATTTACGACCAAATCAGACCCTTGGGGACAAGGCAGTCGACGAAGTCGTAGAAGCACTGGTCAAACGAGGACACGTAGTTCCAGTAGTCCTCAAGGCAACCGTTCACGGACTTGAGCTCGTCCCTCAGGCACTTGGCGAGGCCGTAGAAGAAGTCAAGGCATTCGTGAGGAGCCTGCTTGATAGCGTCCGCGCACGAGAAGCGGGGGTCGAGCTTCTTGTCATTGCGAGGCGAGTTGACAGCCATGACCGACATGGCCGCAACGAAGAAAACGAAAAAGAGGGTAAAGAGCTGGGTGAAACGCATCGAGGATAAGGTAAACAACGAGGTAGCGCGGGTTAAAAGGAAAGAGTGGCGCGAAGCGCGCCGCTCTTCAATATGCACTTCCCCCTCCACACTGGAATTTACCTGCAGAAGCGACGCAGACTTAAGGTATGCTTGCTTATGCGTAAGGGGTACGTGGGGGGGCTGCATCCAACTCCACTTCTGCATATTTCTGCCTATCATGCATATTCCCCGACGCATTTCCCGGTCGCTGAATGCAAGCTCTGCTCCGCACACCAACGACCGCCCAGTTAGCCGAAGAGGTTCTTTCCAGGTAGGTGGAGCAGGAATATGGATTCCTTAGATCAACAAAGCTCAGATGTATATTGTTGAATCGAACTAGCTACCGTGCAGTGTTCTCCGTCGTCAGTTGCGGTAATAGTAGGTTCTCCAAATTTCCAAACATTCTACCATTCGTTGTCCCGAGACGAGACCCACTGTATTGTGTCCAAGGTCGAGTTTGTTGTAAATTTGCATGTCGTTTTGGCGACTTCATGTTCCAGATCACCGCAACGAACATGATTAATCGACTCTTTATCTGGGCTAATCAATGAACAAATCAGGAAAGCCACAGAGAAGCATAGAAAGTGAGCTATTTTAATTATGCTATAGCGTTCGTGTATTCATCTATTTTTATGGGGTCATTCGCAATTGAGAGAGCAAACCCTTCATGATCGGACCATTGAGTCGCTTGACCGACGCAGCGGTATCTGTTTGACCAGACCAGAGAGCAAATTAGGTTGAGGCTGACTAACGTTCCATATCATCTCCACATTGATAAGTCGCCTAGACAAGGGTGGCCGAGGAGATAACGGTGCCCTGCCAGGTGCTTCATCGATGGTAGCATTGATAACGAAGGGCATAAAAGAAAGCCCTCGAATGAGAGTTCCATCAAAGAATGTCTCAAGTAGCGTCTATTGCAGATGGTGCCACGCCGCACCCTTTCGACCAAGCGTCACCAGCTGAGCTTCAAGCGGCGGTCGACATTGCAAAGCAGCGCTTTGATCCAGAACTCGAGTTATTCTGGTACGCAGGCAATGTCCAGGAGCCTCCGAAGAAGGTCATGCAAGAATACCTGCGTGCTGAACGTGCAGGAAAGCCTATCCCCCCTCCTCCTCGCCGCATTTGTATCCTTGTGGGCATCGTACACACTCCTCGCAACTTTGAGGTGCTGGTCGACTTGAGGGAGGGTGCCATTGTTGGCTTTAAAGAACTATCACGAATCTACCAGCCTCCTTTGACGATGGATGAGGTGGATATTGCACGCAACGTCACTCTGTCGTCTGATCTTGTCAAGAAAGAAGCGGAGCGAATGGGTATCCCAATGGACCTCGTTTTTGCCGAGCCGTGGGATTATGGGCGCGACAGTGACGAGGAATACCCTCGCATGTCTCAAATCTTCATGTACATGCTCAACCCTGAAACACGCGATCCGGAGTCCAACCCATACTCGTGGCCTCTTGACTTCATGGCCATCGTCGATTTGGAAAAGCGTGAAGTTGTCAAGGTCATTCACCTCAACCTGGGAGTGGATACGGTCAGCCGGGAGATCCAAAATGGTACATACAAAGGCAGTAAGCCGATCGAGCCCGAGTACGTGCATAGCCTTCAATCGCAAAAGACACGGACTACAATGAAACCGCTACGTGTCCTGCAACCCGAAGGCCCTAGCTTTGACGTGTCTGGCAATCTGATCGAGTGGGAGAAGTGGCGATTTCGTGTTGGCTTCAACTGGCGAGAGGGCTTCGTTCTTTACGACGTCACCTTTGACGGCAGGGAGGTTCTCTACCGCATGTCTTTGGCCGAGATGTTTGTGCCTTACGGCGATCCGCGATCTCCTCTGCAGCGTAAGTCTGCTTTTGACTTTGGCAATATTGGTGCTGGTAATGCTGCCAACAATCTAGGCCTAGGCTGTGATTGCTTGGGTGTGATCAAGTACCTAGACGGTCAACTGCTGGGCGGCGACGGCAAACCGAAAACAGTTCCCAACGTCGTTTGTATCCATGAAGTGGATGCAGGTATCCAGTGGAAGCACACCAATACGGTCACAGGTAAGCCTGTGGTCGTGCGCCGTCGTCAACTGCAGTTGCAGATGATTATCACCGTGGCGAACTACGAATATGCCTTCTACTACGTGTTTGATCAAAGTGGCGAGATTATGTTTGACACGCTTGCCACTGGCATCCTTAGCACGACGCCAATTGATCCCACGAACAAAGACCCTTGCTCATATGGTACCCGTGTGGCTCCTGGTGTTCTGGCGCCATACCACCAGCACATTTTCAGCTTGCGTATCGACCCCTGCATTGATGGCGATGGAAACACGGTCCAAGTGGTGGACAGTGTTCCCATGCCTCTGGACAAGGATACGAACCCATATGGCGTGGGCTATACTACTGAAAGTTACAATGTAAAGCAATCGGGCACTGAAGACATCAATGTGGAGAGGGGACGCGTCTTTAAGATTGTCAACCCGAACAAGATCAATCCGACTACGCTCCAGCCTGTCGGATACAAGCTGGTGCCTGTAGCCTCTCAGATGATCTTATCAGACCCTAACTCTTGGCACGGACGTCGCTCGAACTACTGCACTGCTCCTATTTGGGTCACGAAGTATAAGGATGATGAGCTTTATCCAGCCGGCAAATACACGAGTCAGTCGATTGGTGATGACGGCCTGCGCCACTATATATCCCGCAATGATCCTGTGGAAAATGAGGACATTGTTGTGTGGCATACTTTTGGTCTTACCCACAACCCCCGACCAGAAGACTTCCCTATCATGCCGGCAGAGACTTCGCGCGTGATGCTGAAACCCTACGGCTTCTTTGAGTACAACCCTACGTTGGATGTACCGGAGAGCAAGCAGTCCTTCAACCAAAGTGTCTCGTACGAGGACAGCAAAGCTCTGAGTAGCAAGAAGTCTTGCTGTAAAATATAGATGGAGGGGTAGACCTGTGAGATAGATGCCATGCTAGCATGAGAAAATTTCAATGGTCTGTGCGTGATCTCTCGACGGATTTGCACAGCCTGATCAGTCAGCATTATTCAAGCCATGTAAGGAGAGCTTCTTTTTTCCCCCGACACCTCCTGGCGTAAATCAACCCAATAGGATATAGCCTCCACATCTTTCCCCGCCACCGACCAAGTGACTGCATTCGATCAATGGAACCTGCAGCGCCTGATATATAAACTTGGTTGAGAAATGTAGCTGTAACGCTGCATCATTCCTACCATGTGGGTGAAGTGGCTTTTCGTACTGGCCACTCTCTCTATGTGGACGGTATCGGGTCACCGACTTCACAAGGTGCGGAAACAACCCTCTCCGCTCTCTCCAACAAAAGACCCATTCTACTTGCCTAAAACTGACTGGCAAAATGCCAAGCCAGGCGACATTCTTGCCACGCGCGAAATTCAGGCTGGCTTTACGCAGTTTCAAAAGATTGACCTTCAGGCGGCGTACCAGATCTTGTACCGCACGTCCGGGACAACGGATGATAACCCATCATTTTCTGTAACGACTGTGTTGGTGCCTCAGAACCCTCGCAAGAACAAGCTCGTAATGATCTTGCCATATGAGGACTCGAACTCACCGGAATGTGCACCCAGTTACAAGGTCCAGCTGGGCACCCCTCTCGATGTGAACCCTATTCAATCGGTGGAGGAGCTACTTTGGACGTCGGTGCTAAATGATGGATGGATAACGACTATTCCTGATCATGAAGGGCCTCTATCGGCATTCTCGTCGAGCTTTATTGAGGGCCACACGTCATTGGATGCAGCGCGAGCCACGCTGGCCTTTGACAAGCTTGACATGGACCCCAAGTCGCCTATCGTCGGTATGGGCTATTCGGGTGGTGCTATTGCAGGCGGCTGGGCCGCGTCACTGAAGGACTCTTACGCGCCTGAACTCAATATGGTGGGCTGGGCCATTGGTGGTACCCCCGCAAACCAATCGGGCACCTTTTACGGTCTGGATGGTGGTCTATTTTCAGGGTTTGCGGCCGCAGGTATTGCTGGCATCGTGGATACCTACCCTGAGGTGAACGACTATGTGGGTTCAATTATTACCCCAGAAGGCAATGCTGCGTTGCAGTATACTCGCGAACGATGCATGTCTGATATTGTGATGAACCTCAAAAATGTGAATATTACGCAGCCAGGCTTTGTCAAAAATGGCCAAAAGTTTTTACAAGATCCTCAGATCCATGCACTGCTAGAGACATTGTCCATGGGTAGCAACAAGGACTTGACTCCCAAGGTTCCCATGTATATGTACCATGCCGTTCACGACGAAGTTATTCCCTTCGACAAGGCCAACCAGACGGCCACGACCTGGTGCCAAAATGGTGCAAACATCCAGTTCCAGCAGTATACGGGCCTAGAGATGGGCCATGTATCTACAGAGGCTATGAATACGCCTTTGGTGCTCAAGTTTATTCGCGACCGTATGAGCAACAAACCATTTGTCTCGGGGTGCAAATGGGAATCGGCAGACAACCCCCTCTGGCAGCCTGACATTTTGGGCGCGCGACTTGTGGAGGTGTTCAACTCGATTCTGAACCTCATGGGAACCAAGGTGGGTCAAAGTGACGCCATCATTAAGGAATCAATTAAGAATGGGACTTTCGTTGGTTAACGCATTGGCCTTTGAAAGACAAATTGATTACGTGTACAATATGATATGTAGCAATAATTGATGACCACAGTCAATATGCAAGACGGTTGGCACGCCATGTTCGCATGACTCCACTCGATTGACCCAATCCGGTTTGACTGCTACCTGGTATCTCCACTTCGGAGATATTCTCACAGAACTTCTACCTAGGCTCACGGTTGGCCCGCAGACTTTCTATTACTCACACGCCCTCATTGGTCCATTACGTGTGAATAAAGTATAGACGCATCTGTCGGAAATGATCGTCCGTTGCTATCCTTCACCATGATACTGCGGTTAGGCATTGTGTGGGTGCTGCTTCTCGCTGCTGCAACGCAGGTGCTAGCAGGCAGATTCACGCGAAAGAGAGACTCTGCTTCGTTTTATCAACCGCCCCAAGGGTATGAAAATTCAGCTCCTGGTACGATTCTCAGAGCGCGTCAGATTGTGCCAGCGTCGTTTGGTGCTTTCCCCATCGGTGTCACGGGTTACCAGCTACTGTACCGTACGAATGGGAATGACAAGAACTCGCCGTCAACGACGGTGACGACGGTACTCGTCCCCGACAACTATGACAAGGATAAACTAGTTGTGGCGGGTGTGTACGAAGACTCGTACTCGAGCGAGTGTGCGCCAAGTCAGACAATACAGTGGAATGGCCGTGTGTTTAAGAACCTGCCAATTTCTTATCAGACGCTCTTTTTCACGACACTGCTGCACGAGGGTTGGGTCGTGACCGTGCCCGACCATGAGGGTCCGCAGAAGGCCTTCACGTCCGGCTACGTTGAAGGTCACGCAATACTCGATGCAATCCGTGCCACCCTGTCGTTTGACCAGATCGGCATGCAGAAGCATGCCAAGGTGGTCGGCTATGGCTACTCTGGCGGTGCCCTTGCGACAGGCTGGGCTGCGAGTTTGCACAACCACTATGCACCTGAGCTGAATGTCGTGGGCTGGTCCATCGGCGGCACAGTGGCGCGCGTGCGGGACTGGCTGCAGTACATCGATGGCACGACCGGCGCTGGTTTCTCAGTGGCAAGCATAGGCGGCTTGTCAGCCTCGATACCCGAGCTCCACTGGATTCAGCAGAACCTGACACCGAGGGGCCGTCTGACCCTAGACATATCGAGCAGAATGTGCATGTACGAGAACCTGTGGACGCAAACAGGGAAGCACTTTATCTCGGATACATACTTCAAGGGCGGGTCGAGCTTTTTCCAAAATGAGGGCGTCAACGCCGCGTTGAGCAGGCTGAATCTCGGAAGCAATCCTAATCTCGCTCCGCGAGCACCAGTGTTTATGTTCCACTCGAAGAACGACTTGGTCGTGCCATACAGTTTCGCGTATGGCACGTATCAGGCGTGGTGCAGCCAAGGCGCGAATGTGCATTTGCGCACGAATACGGGCTTGGAGATGGACCACACCAACACGGAGCTCCTAAACCTTCCAAACGTGCTGTTCTTCATGCGTGACCGATTCGCTGGACGAATTTGGGGCTCTTCGTGCAAGGCCGATTCAGTCCTTGACCCCTACCTCAATCCGCTCGTCCTGGGCCAGGGTGTGGCAGAGTATGTACAGCAAGTGATTGATCTGTTGGGCACACGCATCGGCCCCAACGACTGGATTCTGAAGCAGAAGCTGGAGAAGGGACAGGAGCCCTAGATTGACATAGACATTACGGTTAACGGACAATTCTGCTATAATGCCGCTACACGCTCACGAATGACCTCCCAGACTTCTGCGTCCGCATAGGCAGATGCCTGGCCATCGGGCGGGTGCATCCAGTAGTTGAAGGCCATATGTGGCCCCGACTCGGACGCCCACGACGTGACTTCGTGGAACCAGCTGGCCGGCAAATAGAGCATTTGGCCCGCACGTAGCTCCACGACCAGGGGCACAGGGCATTGCGAGCTCGGTGCGAGTGTCGAGGTGGCACCGTCAGGCGCTTTCATCGCTGGCTCGATCCCAAAGTGCTTGTGAAGCTGGTATGACTTTATGAGCGAGAAACTCGGCGGCTCATCACCGTCTAGGTTCGCCAGGAGCGCCTCGCCCTCGTCCATCTCGCCCGCTTCGCTCTCTGCATCACCGCCATCGAGCACGCCAAGCGCATCATCATCATCGTCGTCGGCTTCTTCGTCTCCCTCGTCGTCGTCTTCCTCGTCACCTTCCCTTTCAGAGCGCAGCTTCCGCCATGCCTCTTTGGCCATAGCGTATGTATCAGGCACACTGCCATCCGCGCGTCGCTTCTTCGAGGCGCGCTTCGAGCGCGCAACGACGCGCCAATGCGCTGCATCTAGCTCATCAAGACCGTCCGCTCGGATGGGTGCGTCGTCGTACACGAGCAGGCCATTCGGGTGCACGTGCGTGAGGTTACCGCGAATGTGCAAGTGCTCGTGCGCCGACGGTGGAAACAGGACAAATCGCTTGTGCCCTTGAAGGAGAACGTACAAGTTATCGTGAAAGTCGTGGTGCAACCCCGAGCTCCGTTGCTTGGTACCGCTACCGATCCACAGGTTGCACTGTTGCAGCACCAGATCGCCCAGAAGCCGCGGATGCAGCGGAAAGTCTTCGCGCAGCTTGTGCGTGGGAGATGGAAGCACGGGATCCAGGCCGGGCCCATCGTCCGTCGCCGCGGACGCGGCGTCATCGGCGTCCGCTTCGTACTGTGTCGTCAGGTAAAACGTGCCGTCCTGTGCGGGATCGTGAAGGCGGTCCAGGAGCTCACGCAGCTTCATAGGCTGTCTCTTCATACTCGTACCAAAGCACTGCTCTTTGGGATGCACCGGCTCGACCATCACTTCGGCATCGCCAGCCTTTTCCTCCAGGTACGCCCGGTTCGTCTGTGTGAGTGGCGCGCACATACCCATTGCTGAGCCTTCCAGGACGCATCGTCGAGCCATCCGTCCAGCACCACAGGCCGGCGCGGCTGAATATAGCGCGTCCACATCGCCTGCGCAGACAAGGTGGCCGGCTCCACCGGCACGGTGGCGCCCGCCTCTGGCGTCCATCCTTCATAGGGCATGGTGTGGAGGGAGGCGCGGCACATCACGTGTGACGGGGCGGCGCGGCGCGGCGCCGGTGTAGGTTCCACGACGATGATGCGCGCCGAGGACCAGGGCAGCGGGCGCAGCGACGCTGCCTCGCTGCTGTCACAACTGTCTCCGCAGATGGTCATACAGCGCGCGACGAACCTGCACCGCCGCGTCCAGCACCACATCGACACACTCGCGCCCTACACGATGGAGCGCTGGGGCTTTACGGGCATCTTGTTGGTTCTCTTCATGCTGCGCATTGTGCTCGCGCACGGCTGGTACATTGTATGCTATGCGCTCTTTATCTACCTGCTGAACCTGTTCCTCGCGTTCCTCACACCCAAGTTTGACCCGGCGTTCGAGTCGGACCTGGCCGCGCAGGACGTCGAGGACGGCGCGCCGGGTCTGCCGACCTCCGCGTCCAAGACGAGCGGCGGCCTGATGAGTGACGTGTTCCATCCGCCCAGCGCGCAGGACGACGACGAGTTCCGCCCCTTCATTCGGCGCCTTCCCGAGTTCAAGTTCTGGATCAGCGCTACGCAGGCCATTCTGCTCTCGCTCCTGGCCACCCTATTCAGCGTCTTCGATATCCCCGTGTTCTGGCCGATTCTCGTATTGTACTTTTTGACGCTCTTTGTCATTACGATGCGCCGCCAGATCGAGCACATGATTCGCTACAAGTACCTGCCCTTCGACTTGGGCCGCAAAGCGCGGTACGGCCGCGCCTAAGTCGTGCGGGGCTTGCCTAGCAGCGCGTGTACGTCGCGCCGCACGTATACGACCAAGTACGATGTAGCGCCCGTGGGACTGTAGTTAGCAAGGTCAACGTACTCATGCACCGCCTCGTCCTGGGAGATGCGTGTCACACGCGCATCGTTGAACGAGATCCATTCGTTCCGCTCAAAGTCGCGCTGGTTCAGGAAGTAGTGCCCGTGTGTCGCCTCGCCCCGGTGCATAAACACACTAGCTAGTTCGTACGCCATAGACTGCTCGTGCTGCCACGCCGCATGGTTGGCCTCGCGCAGCTCAGAGATTTGCGCGCGCAGCGCCTGCGCCTCGCCCCGCACGCGCTGCGCCTCGGCGGCCAGCTCGCTGGGATCGTGCTCACTCACAAGCGCCCGGAGTGTCTCGTCCGCGCCGGCCACGTGCGGCAGCGCCGCACGCAGCTGCTCCAGCGCCGGCGCGACGCTATCGAGCGCGCTCACCTGCTCACGCAGCTGCACCGCGCGCTGGCGCCGCGCGTGCGTCGCGGCTCGCAGCGCCACACGCGCAGGCGCGTCACTTGTCATGTAGCGATCCACATACAGGGTATCCGGGAGCGCCAGAGGCGCCTGGTTTTTGACGACACGCTGTCTCTCTCGGTCGTACTGCACGCGCTGCACATGGATCTGCAGCAGGGGCGGCGCCTCGGTGAGCGAAATCGTGCGCTGGACGCGTCCGTCGCTCGTCTCCACGTGCGCCTCGTCAAAGAACGTGTCGAGCGCATCGTACAAATCGTGCGACTCGGGCAGCAGCGTCACAGGCACACTCTTGAACGCCTCCTCTTTGGTCTGCACGCGGCCCTCCGGCTGCGTAACGAGCGTCTGTGTCGAGATGCCCGTGCATAGGCGGGCCAAGTCCGTCGGCGGCGCCGCCGCCACATGGCTGGCCCACGCCACCTCGAGGAGGAAAAGCATATTGTCGAGGCACTCACACACATCCTGCTGCGTGCTCACCTGGCTTAGGAGCGCGTCATGCGCGACGGCGCCGCCGCCCTGCGCCTCTTCCCACGCGAGCGGCACGAGCGCAAGATACGCCAGCTCCTTGGTCGGCGTGAGCGCCGGCGCCTCGCTCGTGGCCATATCGTGCAGCAGCGCACGGAGCTGCGTGATCCATGCATCGGCGCGCTCCTGCTCCGCCTCCGTCACCTGGCGGCCGCCTACGCACGGCTGCGGCGTGCGCGGCACCGCTGTATCGGCCAGTGCCTGCACCATATCGCGGATCGGCGCGATCCAACACACGTACTGCAGCAGGGAGTTGAGGTAGCACGTATTCCCAATGTTCTCGAGACCGCGCGGCAGCGTGGCGTCGGAGGGCACAGGATGATCGCCCCGCAAGAAGCGGCGCAGGTACGTGCTGTCCCGCGCCTCGGCGAGAGCCTCGAGCGCGAGACGCAGCAGATGCCCGCGCGTCGTCGTCTCCGAGGCGTACACCTCGTACCCCACAACGATGAGGCCGTCGTCAATCGCGTCGCTCACTTGCAGGAGCTCGTAGGCGCGGTCGATCGGGTCAAACGGATTCGCGTCGGCACGCGCGGCCCACGCGGGCTGGGCGTACGCCTGTGCCAGCGTACGCAGGGCGTGCTGCGCCGACGCGTACTCGGCGTCCGTGCCGTGACGCAGCACGCCCTGCACCGCTGACTCGTATGCGCCAAGGACCGCCTCGGACGCCGGCGCCGCTGGCTCGTCGTCCCAGAGCCCAGGGGCCTCGGCCGGCACGCCCAGGCCGAGGCGCTCGTGGGCCTGGACCACATCGGACCACGCACACAGACCCTGGCTCTGCTCGAGCGCCAGGCACGTCGTGACGGGCTCGCCGAGATGCAGCGTGGCCTGCAGCCGCTCCAATGCGTAAAAGGCCGAGCGGCGCTGCTGGGGAAAGCACGCCACTTGCCAGCGGTACAGCTCCTCTGCGCGCTCCGCGTCCAGTTCGCGTGTGCCGAGGCCGAGGTGCGCACATGCGCGGTGCACACGCACGTCCGGCGGCGGCACGACGGGCCCAAAGGGCGATGCGCGCTGGATGTGCCACGCGAGCGCCGCGGGCGCCGCGTCCGGCAGGGGCGGCGGCGTGCCCCCCTCGTGCACACACAGCATGGCGAGCTCGAGCCACATTCGCGCTGTGCGTGTGCGCAGCGCGTCGTTCGCGGTCAGGTCGGGCGCATAGAGGGCCGCGCGCGCCTCGTCGAGCGGCGCGACGCGCCACTCGAGCGCCTCGAAGAGCCGCTGCAGCGGCACGTCCCACCGCAGCTGCTGGGAGAACGCCTTGCCATCCAGCGGCACCGGGCGGTCTAGACCGGCCAGCGCATTGCCCAGCAGCCGAGCTAGGACATGCACAGCACGCACGACCTCGGACGTCGGCGTCTGACCTGGCCCGGGCGCCTGGGCGCGTGCCGTGCGGAAATCGTGCCAAAACGAGGCAGGCAGCGCTGCCTCCTGCGTCGACGTGATCCAGGCGTGCTGGCGCACGATATCCGTGTGGCGCCGGCCCGCCTCGGCGTCGTCCGTGTACAGGAGAGGCCCGACGCGGGGCGCCTCATCGATCGGGCCCCACGGCCCACCGATCGCCAGGTCATCGCGCTGCTCGCACACGTGCCACTGCAGCGTGCCCGGCGCAAAGCACGCCTCCGCCGCCGGCTTGGCGCGCAGCGCGTCCTGGGCCCACGCCGGGAGGGCCGGCGCCGCGTCGAGGCGTGCGTCGCCCTCGTCGTGGAGCGGCCCCTGGCCCACGGGCCACGTCCACGCGATCGACAGCGCAGGCGCATCCCATAGCAAGCCACTCTCCGCCAAGGCGGCCGGCGTGCGCAAGCATTCGCGCGCGCGCGCGGGTACCGCCGCCATGAGCGTGGGTCGTGCGGCGCTGGAGGCGCCGACGCCGCTGATGTAATCGAAGCCGCCTCGCTGCGACCTTCCATCCCTGGGTGTGGACGGCGGCCATGACCGACGCCGACGACGTGCGCACGCCCGATGCGCCCCTCGAGGAGCGTGTCGCGGCCCTAGCGGTGGAGCCGCCACAGGCAGCGCCCGCCGAGTCGCCCGCGTCCGAGGCCCCGCCGCCGCCAGCGCCGGCCGAGGCCGCGGCGAGTGCGCCGAGCCGCGCGCCGCCCTGCACACCGCTTCTCCCTGACGCGAGCGAGTGGGACGACGCCGTGGCGCAGGACCGCATCGATACGTTCCTGCCGCCGTGGCTCACGCGCGTCGAGGCCCTCTTGCATGAGGGCGAGACGCGCGGTGCCGCCTCGCTCGTGGACGTCCTCCTCTACCTGTGTGGCGCGCTGCGCATCGCGCCCGACCAGCCAGGCGCGCCGTGCGCGTCGTGGCACGCTGCCAAGCCGGGGCGCAGCGTACGTGCGCTCCTGGCGCGATGCCTCGTGCACCTCTACCGCACCGACGCGCCCAAGCCGCCGCTCTACGACGTGCTCGCAGCGCTCCACGAGTCGTGCGCCCACGACCCGAGCCCCGAGCGCCTCCTGCAGCAGCTGGCGGCGCTGCACACAACGCGCGCCCTCGTGCAGGCGCATGCCAGCGCGGCCGGCCTGCAAGTCTCGCTCGCTACTGTGTGCGTGCGCCTCGCCAAAGGCAGCCACGCCGTGCTCCTGCGCTTCTATGCCCTCGAGCTTCTCGACACGGTCCTCAACGCGGGCCTCGCATCGTTTCCACCCGCGCTCACCAAGGACGTGCTCAAGACGCTGCGCGCGGGCCTCGGCGATCCCGCCGGACCGGTGGTGCGCGCGAGCGCGGCGTGCGTACGCACGCTCGCGCGCGTACACGAGCCCCTGCGCACGCCCGCCGAGCTCGAGCACTGGATCTCGCTCGCGGCCAAAAGTATGGCCGCGTGCGACGCGCCGACGCGCGCGAGCCTCGCGGACCTCGGCGCGGCGCTCCTCGCGCAGGAGGCCCGCGGCCCCCCCACGGACGGCAAGGCGCCGGCGCCTACGCCCCTCCTGGACGGCAGCGCTACGCAGCGCATCCTCCAGGCCGCGCTCACGAGCGCGCCGACCTGGCAGGCACGCGCAGGCGCCGTGCAGATGTACGCAGCGTTCGCGGACGCGCACGATGTCTCGTGGCTCGAGACGCACTGGGACGCCCTCGTGGAGCATGTGGCCCAGCTCGCGACGCTCGCGAGCGACGCGTACGTGCGCCTCGCGCTGCGCCGCCTGCTGCATGCCCAGGCGCTGCGCCTGTCCGAGCCGGCGCAAGCGCGCGCGGCCGCGGCGCTCGGCACGCACGTCCTCGCGCCGTGGCCGCCCGCGACGCCGACCGCGACGCCGCCCAGCGATGCAGCGCTCGTCCTCGCCCTCGAGGCGACGACGGCGCTCGTCGCGCGCCTCGGCGAGCTCGCGCCGCCGCTGTACGAGGCCCTGTACGAGCCGCACGTGCG